GCTTAACATTCCGTATTAGGGATTTGGTTACCATCCTTGTTATTCCCTGAGCTCTGTAAGGATTGTGAAATAAATTTAACAGAAAATGCTAATTCTGGTTATGTTTTCTACTTCTAAATAAGGGATGTAATATTATTGGGGGGGGCGCTTGGGGGTGTTTTGATGCTGATATTATAGATGTCATGATTGTAAACTACCTATAACCTTTGTAATTGTACACTATATTACTCTTTTTTAAAAAGTGCTACAGCTAAATTCCGAGCATTCTTATTTATTCATCCATCACTTTGGAAAGTTCCATTTTGCTCTTTCAGAAAGATCCCTGGGCAGAAGACAAAAAATCACAACACATACAAATATACACACATACACTCACACAGAGGAAGGTTTAGCTGAATTCTATATCTAGATAAGTGTATATAGCACATAATTCCAAATATTATGCCATGCAGGTAAGTTGAACTTCTAATTCTATAATTTTCCAAGCTGGAAGGAAATCTGGGCAGTTTAAGTCTTCATCTGAAGAATGTTTAGAAGAGATTTCTTGTCAGCCTTTATTTCTGGATACCAATCTTCTATTCCAGGCAACTTTTATATCACTTTTTAAAAATGCTGACCTTTTCTTCATTATTTTCATATGCTGGAAGCTATCCTGTGTATTGTTTTAATAATGGAAAATTGAGATATAAATATCCTTGTAAAACCAATGAACAAATAATCTGGTGCTTGGTTAACACAATGTATCTTTTGGGATTGATGCCAGCATAGTATACTAGTACTATTATGACACAATGTAATAAATCAATTGCCATCATAATATTCTGGTTCTAAATGAGGATTTACGCAGGTACTATAAACACAAACATATGAACATAGAGTAAATTAAAATTTCCAGTATGAATCCTACAAAATCCCATAAAAACATCTCAATCTTTATTTTAATTGTTAACATTCATCCCTAACTGTGTGTCGTTCCACCATCTTCACTGTAAAGGAATTAATCATTGAAAATTATCAGATATTTTAATCAGATACCTGTTATAGATTCTAATTAATGGTATTTTCATCCTCCACATACCTTTGGTTAATTATCAGTATATAAACCTCTAGAGAAATCACATTCATCTTAAATAATGTAACATTATTGGAACACTTCTAATAATTCTGACCTTTACTCTTTCTTTTTGCAACAATTATAACTTCAATAAAGACTCCAGCATTTACTGTCATTACTAATTGGTTCCCTCAAGAAAGAAAGGTAGGCAATAACCATCAGATAATCCTGTTAACCTGAATTCTTTCATCTCCATCACAGGCCAATTGTCCAATGTGAAAGTATGTATGTCTGTGGGAGCCGGGGGGGGGGGATGGTTAAATTATAATTATATTTTTATTTATGATTGCTTAAATTTTTGGGAGTGCTTTTATACTTAAAATCAAAATATTGATAACTCTAATCAGGTCATCCTACTTCAGTGTGCTTCAGTGTGCTATTCTATTATCTCAGAGATCAGAATATGTGTTTAAAATTGTACACTGTATTTCTAGATATTTCCAGAAGCATGGAGCAATAATAAAATTTAGAAATTTTTGCACAATTAAATACAGATCAGGAGCTGACTGTATAATCAAAATATGGCTAATGATACATAACTTGTTTGAGAATACCATTGTTTTCAAAATAACTACAATAATGGGAATTAAGAAACATTTGCTCCAGTCAGAACCAACCCAACCCAACCACAGTTGATTTTAGACTGAGCAAGCTCATTGTCAAAAAACACTGTCAGCTATCAAAAAAAGGAGGAGAAATTGGAAGATGGAATGGAATATCCTTTAAAAGTCTTGCTTGTCCATAGAACTATTACAATATTTGGCCCTAGGACACTGCTATAAAAAGTTTCAGAATTGCTTGTGTGCATTCCCTACTCTTGTTCAATGTAATGAACTTTATCTTTGTCTTTAAAGTAGGCAGAACTATTTCTTTTGTCACAGTTGTATCATGTAAGCTGAAATAGGCATAGGTGCCAGACAGTAATTTCCTTTGGAGCCGTATCCCTCAATACACACTATTCTTTCTCTGAAGAGAAAATTCTTTCCCTTTGATTAAGCTTGCCATCCAAATATACTATCTGCCTGGTTTTTAATTTACAAGTAATTTAATTTATAGGTAATTCTATTTTATGCTCTTGTTTTAGCTGTAGGTATACCATCCCCATTGGCTAAGAAGTATCTACTGTATATTATTGAAGTTCATTCTCACCAGATTCAAGTTACAACAAGGGCCAAATCATGGGAAAAGAAGCTTACTAATTCTTATCAAGATAGGCAATACTGTACCCTAATGAGTTTAGTGTGGATCGTAACAGGGCTAGGATGAGCTTGCAAAAAGTGAAGCAACTGGCATAAGACACAACTCACAATATCATAATATCCATGCCTGATTCTTGAATATATTCTTATCCTATATATACATACGTACTGTCAGCACTCCTTCATTGGATAATCAGGAAAGAAAACCATAAGACTCCATTGATAGAAATCAAGTGTACTTTTACTAATTATAAATGAACAGAAGCGTAGCAAAGCGAAGACTGATTATTTAGGCGCGAAAGCAAATGATATATAAAATAACCCATTCCCCACCCCTTGGCATCCCAGTCACAGTCCAATCATAATTCTCCCAAATGTCAGGTGTGAGATAACTTCGAAAGGCATCACCAAGATGGAATGTCGGTGCCATTGGCCTTGGCAGGAAACCTCCTCTGCATGCGCAGTAAGACAGGCAGCAGAAACTCCAGAATCTTCCTCCAGCACAATTAGTAATCCCCTCCCAAATACCATGCCCCCCCTCCCCGTTTCAATGGCAGCTGAAGCAGCAGCAAAGCAGAGGCTGACATCCGGCCCTCCTCCAGAAAAAGGCGGTCAGATCTGGAAAACGACAAAACACAAACAAACAGACGAACAACAAAAAACAGAAAAATAAAAATAGGGGGACAGGTGGCGGAACCACTGGCGGACGTAAAGATGAAAAACGAACAGGTTTAATGAGATTAACGTGGAAAACAGGATATACACGGTTGAGGTGCTTGGGTAACTGCAAGCGAACTGAAACAGAATTGATGACTTTGATTATGGGAAGCGGGCCCACATACTTAGGGCCCAACTTTTTTGATTTCTGCGTAGTTTGAAGGAACTTTGTGGATAGATAAACCTGATCACCCACTTTGTACTGATAAGGTTGAGCATGTTTCTTATCAGCCTGTTTCTTATGCGCGCGATGCGCAGCATCCAAAGTACTAAGTGCCAAAGGCCAAATATGCCGCAATCGCTCACTCCACTCGGAGATGGATGAAACCTGCGGCTGCTCAAGAGGAACTTCGGGAATAGGAACAAAGTCCTGGCCAAACAGAACTCGGAAAGGGGTGAACCCAGTGCTGCAACGTACAGAATTATTATAAGCCACTTCTGCGTGCGGCAACAAGTCCACCCAATCATCTTGCTGGTAATTGATGAAACAACGTAAATATTGTTCCAGCACAGAATTAGTCCTCTCGCAAGCTCCATTAGTCTGAGGGTGGTGGGCAGAGCTTAAGCCTTGGGCGGAGCCAATGCACTTAAGAAATTCTTTCCAGAAGACCGAGGTGAATTGCATGCCCCTATCTGAAATTATGCGATCAGGCATGCTGTGCAAACGGTAAACGTGAGAAATGAATAGTTTAGCGAGCGCTTTTGCAGAAGGAATCTTTGGGCAAGATATAAAATGACCTTGCTTGGAGAACAAGTCAGTAACCACCCATATGACAGTGTGCCCCTGGCTCTCAGGAAGTTCAACAATGAAGTACACAGAAATCTCCTTCCAGGGGGCGACAGGGCGAGCTACAGTCTGGAGCAAACCCTGCGATTTCCCCGGCAGGTGTTTAGCAGCCGCACAAACGGGACAGCTGGAAACATAAAGTTCAATGTCCTTCTTCAAAGAGGGCCACCAAAACTGCCATTTCACCAGATGCAGCATCTTCACAAAACCAAAGTGCCCCACCAACTTGGAATCATGAGCCTGTTGGAGAACAACGAGACGAAGAGAGGCAGGGACGTAAAGTTTCGCTCCAATCCATGCCAAACCATCCCTCATCGTGCATTCACCTTGATGTTGCTGGAAACAATCATCATGAGGAAGGGACTTCTTAAGGTCGGAAAGAAAATCTTGGGACACGTCCACCTTAGACCGTGTCTGTTGCCTAGTAACAACAGGAGCAGCTAGGCTTGACGTGGGAACAACAGGCTGGACAANGTGGTCTTCTTTCCTAATTACTTAATGAAGAGGTGCTGACAGCGAGCTTTGAGGCGAATAGGCGCCACCATGGGGTCTAGACTCAGGGAGGTGGGAGTGCCATTATAACGGCCCAGGGCAGCGAATTCCGTGACGGAGGTCCAAATCAGAGGCCAGCCTGAGGGAATTGACCCCAGCGATGGACAGGCCGAAGGCACGGAACCAGTCCAGCCCCAGGAGAGAGGTCAAGGGATTCCGGACCACAATGAGGGGCAAGGGACCCTGGAACCGCCCATACTGGATCGGCAAGGTGAGGCAACCCAGGACAGGAATGGAAGTCCCCTGATAGTCCCTGAGGTGGCAAGGGGCAGAAGAAAGTCAGTCCTACCGAAGCGGGGCAAGAGCTGTCTCAGAGTGTCCCAGGAGATGATAGATCATGAGGAGCCCATATCCAGCTCCATGGTGCAGGGTTGGCCGGCCAGTAAGATGCGTAGGTGCATCTTAGCCCGCCCCCCTGTGGAAGTGGACACCGAGTCCAGCAGCCAGTCGGGAGAGAGCCCGTCGGGTTCCAAAACAGCATAGCAGCCTTGGCGGGAAGACGATGGCATTGACGCAGGCTGGCGCCCAGCGGGAGCTCTGGCAGGCCATTGCGCTGAAGCAAGGGAGTGGCACACCGCGGCAATGTGGCCCTTATTGCCACACTGGCAGCAGAGGGTGGCCCGGAACCGGCATGACGAACGGCCCCAGCATCCCTGACAGAGAGAGACCTGAGGAGATCCACGGAGAGGTCGAAGTCAGGCCGAGGGTCTTCCGGGCCCAACTGACAGTGGATTGAAGCAGGAGGAAGAGAAGCCGTGACTGAAGGAGGGAAACGGCGAATAATGGAGGAAAACACCCCGCTTTCGCCCCTCAGGAAGATCGGTGAGGCCGTAGGCCTGCAGAAACATCTCGAATCTTTCAAGGAAGGCATCCCAACTCTCCGCCTCAGGACAGAAAGGCGAGAAGGAAGAAGCGGCAGCAAGAGCCAGGACGTGCACTGGGTCGACGTCGCTCATCCTCGTCTCCAGTTTTAGATACGAGGAGGCGCTGAGGTAAATTGAACAGGAACCTTTATTACAACAGAACTGACAGCAAGTTCAGAACACGCGGGCTGGATGGCGCCACCTGACAGCTATTTATACTGATAGCTGTCAGGCGGCCGGCCAATGGGGTGGCCGCAATTCTCCCACCAGCCAGCAGCTGCCCCGGGACCAATCAGCCTCTTGCAAGGCGTGGCTCGGCTGCCGGCTGCGTCAGGGGGATGCAACAATTACAAGTTTGTTTTTAATTTTTATTCCCACTATTTTCTCATCTTATGACTCTGTTCTGTTACCTGAATAACTAAAATGAACAAGAGTAGAAACAGCAAGCATTTTTGTCTTCTCTCACATGGTTTTTTTTTTTGTTAATTCTCCATTAAACAATTATATGAGTTTTTTATGAGGTAAAATTCAATCTTATGTATTTAATAAAATTATGTCCAAAATTGATAACTTCCAGGACTCTAAAGAAGAAAATTCAGTTAAAGCTATCAAAGGTGTTAGTTGCATCTAAGAAAATCAGTGGTTTACTTTTCATTATGTTGATCCAAATATTCAATACATCCAATATTCAATATATTTCTAATATTCTCTTGTAATTTTCCCTTAAATTAAAACTCACATTGATTTCATGAATAAAGTCCTATACAATTATTTTCAACCATTCATCCCAAAACATTTTAAACAACTTGTAGTCATGATTCAATAAAGATATTGGTTGGTAATTTCTTGTTAAAGTCAGCTCCTGGGATTCTTTAAGTATGAATCATATACTTGCTTCTTTCCAAGTGTCAGGAATCTTTCTATTCTGTAAAATAAATATTCATTGTTTATTGTTCAGGTTGTAAAATTTAGTCCTCAAAACATAAGTCGGCAGACCAAGTGCCTTTCTGATTTTAGTCTTTTTAATAATTTTACAAACTTCTGTTATTCTTACAGATACATTCAAAATTACTGATTCTCTGTAATCTTTGGTAAATTCTGTTTATATAAATAATTGTCAACACTCCTTCATTTGGATAATCAGGAAAGAAAACCACAAGACTCCATTGATAGAAATCAAGTGTACTTTTACGAATTATAAATGAACAGAAGCGTAGCAAAGCGAAGACTGATTATTTAGGCGCGAAAGCAAATGATATATAGAATAACCCATTCCCCACCCCTTGGCATCCCAGTCACAGTCCAATCATAATTCTCCCCAATGTCAGGTGCGAGATAACTTCAAAAGGCATCACCAAGATGGAATGTCGGTGCCGTTGGCCTTGGCGGGAAACCTCATCCACATGCGC